GATGGAATGAGAGGGCCCTCATCGACCACTACCGTTGCAGTTTAAGGGAGGACGTTCGTCGGGAATTGGCCTGCAGGGACACCAACCTAAACCCGGACCAACTGGTGGATATGTCAATCCGACTGGATAACCTGTTGGCCACCCGCGGACGTCCTGATCAGGGGCCGTCCATTCCATTCCCCAGCACCTCCGACCCTACCCCTATGGAGCTCGGAGGTGCTGCTATGAGGGAGACCGGTAGAGGGGCCATCCCCTGCACCAACTGTGGCCGCAGAGGACACACTGCTGGTTGGTGCTGGGGAGGGCCTTCAAGGAGTCGAGGCAGTAGGCAGCGCACTGGTGAACCGTTTCAGGTGTGTAGGCACCCAACTCACCCAGAGCTCCCTGTTGCGCATATGTGTATAAATGTTGTATTTCCCAAGTTTTCTTCTCATTCCCGGCATAAGGCGCTAGTAGATTCAGGCACAGCTGGGAACTTTATTGATCGTCAGTTTACCCGTAGGTTAGGGATTCCTATTGTGCCAGTTGATGTGCCCTTCCCTATCCATGCCCTAGATAGTTTCCCTTTAGGGTCAGGTCTGATTAGGGAGGTCACAGCGCCACTCTGGATGAAGACGCAGGAGGGGCATGAGGAAATAATTAGTCTATATCTGATTGATTCTCCTGCGTTTCCTGTGGTGTTGGGGCTTCCCTGGTTAACTTCACTATTTCATGGCAACAGAGGGCTCTCAAGGGATGGTCAAGTCAGTGCGCGGGGAGGTGTGTAGGTGTTTCCGTAGGGGCAACTACGGTGGAAAGTCCAAACCAGGTTCCCACCATGCACATTCCGCCTGAATATGCCGATTTGGCTCTCGCCTTCTGTAAAAAGAAGGCGACTCAATTACCACCCCATCGACAGGGGGATTGTGCATGGTGGGAACCTGGTTGCGCTTCCCCGGAGTCACGTGTATCCTCTCTCACAGGAAGAGACGACGGCTATGGAAACATATGTCACCGAATCTCTGAGACAAGGATACATTCGGCCGTCCACTTCCCCTGTGTCATCGAGTTTCTTTTTTGTGAAGAAGGATGGTGGCTTACGCCCGTGCATTGACTACCGTGGTCTAAATCAGATCACTGTAAAATACAGCTATCCATTACCTCTGATTGCGAGCATGACGGAGTCATTGCACGGGGCGCGCTTCTTCACGAAATTGGATCTCAGGAGCGCGTACAATCTGGTGCGTATCCGGGAGGGAGATGAGTGGAAGACGGCATTTAGTACCACCTCGGGGCACTATGAGTACCTCGTCATGCCATTTGGTTTGATGAATGCTCCTTCAGTCTTTCAATCTTTTGTTGATGAGATTTTCAGGGACCTGCATGGACAGGGTGTAGTGGTGTATATTGATGACATTCTCATATACTCCGCTACACAGGCCGAGCATGTGTCCCTGGTGCGTCAGGTGCTTGGTCGACTGTTGGAGCATGACCTGTATGTGAAGGCGGAAAAATGTCTGTTCTTCCAAGAATCCATCTCCTTCCTAGGACACCGCCTGTCCGCGTCAGGTGTGGAGATGGAGATTGACCACATTTCGGCCGTGCGTAATTGGCCGACTCCAACCACGGTGAAGGAGATGCAGCGAGGTTTATCCGGGGTTTTGGTCAGGTAGCGGCTCCCATTACCTCCTTGCTCAAGGGAGGACCGGTGCGTCTACAGTGGTCAGCTGAGGCGGACAGGGCTTTTGGGCATCTTAAGGACCTGTTTACTTCGGCTCCGGTGCTGGCTCATCCGGATCCTTCCTTGGCATTCCAGGTTGAGGTGGACGCGTCCGAGGCTGGGATTGGAGCTGTACTGTCTCAGCGCTCGGGTACGCCACCAAAACTCCGCCCCTGTGGTTTCTTTTCTAAGAAGCTCAGTCCGGCGGAGCGCAACTATGATGTGGGGGTACCGGGAGCTGTTAGCTGTGGTTAAAGCACTGGAAGTGTGGAGGCATTGGCTTGAGGGGGCTAAGCACCCTTTTTCACATTTTGACTGACCATCATAATCTGGAGTACATCCAGGGCGGCGAGGAGGCTGAACCCTCGTCAGGCAAGGTGGGCCATGTTCTTGACTCGTTTTGTGTTTACTCTCACTTACAGACCAGGTTCCCGGAACGCTAAGGCAGACGCCCTGTCCTGACTGTATGACACAGAGGAGAGGTCCATTGAGCCCACTCCCATACTTCCGGCGTCGTGTCTGGTGGCACCGGCAGTGTGGGAGGTTGACGCGGACATCAAGTGGGCGTTACGTACCGAGCCCACTCCCCCCCAGTGTCCAGAGGGTCGGATGTACGTGCCGCTCGAGGTTCGTGATCGATTGATCTATTGGGCTCACACGTCACCCTCCTCTGGTCATCCTGGCATCGGTTGGACAGTGCATTGTCTTAGTGGGAAGTACTGGTGGCCCACTTTAGCCAAGAATGTGAGAGTTTATGTTTCCTCCTGCTCGGTGTGCGCCCAGTGTAAGGCACCTAGACACCTGCCCAGAGGGTAAATTACAACCCCTACCCGTTCCACAACGGCCGTGGTCCCACCTATCGGTGGATTTTGTGACGGACCTTCCCCCCTCACAAGGGAACACCACGATCCTGGTCGTTGTGGATCGGTTTTCTAAGTCCTGCCGTCTCATTCCTATGTCAGGTCTCCCTACAGCCCTACAATCTGCTGAGGCCCTGTTTACACACGTCTTCCGGCACTACGGGGTACCTGAGGATATTGTGTCGGATCGGGGTCCCCAGTTCACCTCAAGGGTCTGGAGGGCATTCATGGAACGTCTGGGGGTCTCGATTAGCCTTACCTCAGGTTTTCACCCCGAGAGTAATGGGCAGGTGGAGAGAGTTAACCAGGATGTGGGTAGGATTCTGAGGTCCTATTGCCAGGACCAGCAGGGGGAGTGGTCAGGTTATATCCCCTGGGCAGAGATAGCCCAAAACTCACTCCGCCACTCCTCTACTAACCTTACGCGTTTCCAGTGTGTGTTAGGTTATCAGCCGGTCCTGGCACCTTGGCATCAGAGCCAGATCGAGGCTCCTACTGTGGATGAGTGGTTTCAGCGCTCGGAAGAGACCTGGAACGCTGCTCATGTACACCTGCAGCGGGCAATCAGGTGACAAAAGGCGAGCGCCGATCGCCACTGCAGTGAGGCCCCGGTGTATGCACCAGGGGACCGGGTCTGGCTCTCGACCCGAAACCTGCCCCTTCGCCTGCCCTGCCGGAAGCTGGGTCGGCGGTTTGTGGGGCCATTTAAAGTCCTGAGGAGATTGAACTAGGTTTGTTATAGGTTACAGATTCCTATTAATTACAGTATTAACCCCTCGTTCCATGTGTCTCTCCTCAGGCCGGTAGTAGCTGGTCCACTCCAGGAGTCTGAGGTACGGGAGGTTCCTCCGCCCCCACTGGACATCGAGGGGGCTCCGGCGTACTCGGTCCGTTCCATCTTGGATTCGAGGCGTCGGGTGGGGGGCCTGCAGTATCTTGTGGAGTGGGAGGGGTATGGTCCGGAGGAACGGTGCTAGGTCCGTAGGAGGGACATCCTCGATCCCTCCATGTTGATGGATTTCCACCAGAGTCATCCGACCCGCCCTGCTCCACGTCCTCCTGGCTGTCCCCGAGGCCGGGGTCGGCGCACGGCTGGAGCCACGCATCAAGGGGGGGGGGGGGGGGGTACTGTCACGGATTCAGCCGAGGCTGCCCCTCCTCCTTGCTCGGGCAGGTTTCGGTGTTCGTCGTCACCGGAGTACTAGCTGCTACCGATCCATGTATCTATGTTCGACTTGTTTTGTCTTAATTGGTCACACCTGTTTCCCATCATGTAGTTATGCCTTCCCTATTTAACCCTCTGTCTCAAACTGTGTGTTGTGCGTGTTTGTTCATGTTTTGGTTGTCGTTAGTGTGCGGGTTTGTTCCCTCCCTGCGTGGAGGTTGTTGTTCATTCTTTTTACTTATGAGTAAAGTACGCCTTTTGATTAGCTCTGTGTCCTGTGCCTGACTTCGCCTACCGCATTACACTGACGCCTTGACAGTATGATTTTACTATTAGATGTTCAGTGTTTCTTTTGAAACAAATATTTAGAAAGGAACAGTTTCACCATATTAAAATGTAACAGGGTTGACCTTAAAATGAGGGACAGACATAAATAAATCACTAATCACATGAAATAAATGATAATCTTCAGAAATGACTTTGTCAAAGCAACAAAAACTAGGGCTTTACAATAATGGTGAAACTTGGAAAATTGTGGGGATTAAGTAGGTTAACATCTTCCTAGAAGTGACATAGGGTTGACGGAGGGACATGTCAAAATGCTGAATTTTTACACTTTATTCATATAGAAAAATCAGATTTATTGAATTCTCCATGTGGTCTATATTACATGGCGCTTAATTTAATATAACAGGCTTTTAAAAGTCGATATTGGTGTACAATTTCTACTTAAAATATCAGAAGGCACTCATTTAGTGGAACGACCCGCATAAAAAGCTATTTTTAATTTTTTACCATTTTAATTTAAAACAATAGCAGTAAGGTATTTAATTGTTACCTAGAAATGATTTGATATTGAGATCATTACGGCTGCAATTAAAAAATATATAGATTTTAAAAAAGTGTGTCGATTGCAGTCACTCCTTGTGCATATATTGATTTTGAGGCAAGGAAACCATAATTCATGTGACAAACAGGTAAATATTTTTGGTATAATGTTAGTGGTTTGTATTCACATACTGCTTTTCTCTAACTCAAATTAGCTTTATATTGTATAGACTAACTACATTCTCAGAAATTGCATTGATGTATACATTTAGAGGGCCCATGCAATTTTCCACTGACATACTACATCTAACCAGGGCCTTTCCCTAACTAACAATACCATTTGGATTGCAAATTCAGTGGACAAAAAAGGCAGCTTTTCAAAGTACTATACTTCCTCAACCAGATAGATGCCTGTTACTCAGTCAGTCGACTGGTCAGTTTGCTAGAAATGGAGCGACTGAACTTCTCCACCTCTAATGCCTCCTTGCTCAGTCCACTCTTCTCTTGGGACCGTGAATATCTAGCCCCTAGCGTGTTCATGTCTCTCTGCTTCCTAATCGGCGTTCCCGGGAACATCGCAGTGATGTTCGTCCTTCACCGAAAACAAGATCTATCCAGTTTGAGCCGGAGACTAATGTTGAACTTGGCTGTATCTGACTTGCTCTGCCTCATCTCCCTACCTATATGGATCCACAGCTTTCTCTTCAACTGGGTGCTGGGCCAGGCTGCTTGTAAGTTCTTTACCTTCCTGGTCTACTGTAGCACCTACACCAGCCTGCTGACTGTCAGTCTACTGGGCATCCAACGCTACATGCAGGTCTTCTACCCACAGACTTGGGGCAGTCTAGGATTGACAAAGGAGAGGGGGATTCAGGCTGTCTTGTGGGGGGTAGCCGTGGCTCTGGCTATCCCTAATGGGATGTTGTTCCGCAATTTGAAGCAGGATGAGAGTGGACGGGTGCAGTGCTACTTTTGTTTCACATCAGATGCTGAGCAGGTGGCCCTGTTGCTCCTGGCATCTCTCGTGGGATTTGTAGCTCCATTCTCAATCACTGCCACTGCGTATTTCTGCCTCTATAGGAGGGTGAACCAAACAGCTTTCTCCAGAAGCACCAGGATGACCAAGCTAGTAAGCAGCATTGTTGTGACTTTCTTTGTACTATGGACTCCTCTCCATGTCATTATCCTGCTGGGAGTGGCGGCCATCTTGGCCAACGATAACGCTCTACTAGAGTTTTGTGATGCCAGTTTGAACATTGTTGGAGCTCTGACCTTTGTCAACAGCTGTGTGGATCCATTCCTCTATGCCTTCGCCTCAAGAAACACCAGACAGCCAGAGAACAGTGACAATCCAGTGTGACTCAGTAGTCACCACTGATCCCAAAGGCATAATAATAATTTTAACAGTGTAATTATTGTGTTACTTACTGTATGTGACAGCCCTGAGTTCAAATGCATGATTATTTGAGTTAATAATTTTCTAGTTAACTAATTTTCTTTGTATTTGAGTATTGAACGGGGAAAAATGCATAGGTTGCTTCGTTATCCAAGATTATCCACATAATTTAAGATATACATCTTGTCATCTGTGGTTTCACATGACGAATTCAGTACATTCAAAGAGCCCATGCAAATTCCCACTGACACACAACATTTAACCAAGGTGTTACCATAACTACCAACTCAGACTCATTTGGATAGAAAATTCACTGGACAGAAAAACAGCTATTCAGAGTACTGTACTTCCTGTTTCAGATGAAAACTGTACTTCTTCTGACATCCTGTTACTCCAGCCAGTCGACCGGTCAGTCAGTCTCAATGCTAGAAATTGAGAAACTTAACTCCTCCACCTCTAATGCCTCCTTCCTCAGTCCTTCTTCAGCAGACATATAGCCCCTAGTGTGGTCTTGTCTTTCTGCTTCCTAATCGGCATTCCCGGGAACATCGCAGTGATGGTCAACCTTCGCCAAAACCAAGATCTATCCAGTTTGAGCCGGATGCTGATGTTGAACCTGACGGTATCTGATCTACTATGCCTCATCACCCTACCTATATGGATCCACAACAGTCTCTTCAACTGGGTGCTGGGCCGGGTTGCTTGTAAGTTCCTTACCTATCTGGGCTACTGTAGCATCTACACCAGCTTGTCTACTGTCACACTACTGAGTATCCAGCACTAGAGTCTCTAGAAGTGGTGCTGCTTCTAGAGACTCTCCTGGGATTTGTAGTTCCCTTCTCTATCATGGCCACAGCCTATATCCGCCTCCATCGAAGAGTGAACAAAACAGCTTTCTTCAGGAGCCCCTGGATGACTAGATTAGTGACCAGCATCATTGTGACCTTCTTCATACTATGGACTCCTTTCAATGGCATCAACGTGCTGGAAGTGGCAGCTATATTGGCGAAAGATAAGGCTCTGATAGAGTTTTGTAATGCCAGTTTGAGCATTGTTGGAGCTCTGACCTTCATCAACAGCTGTGTGGATCCATTCCTCTACGCCTTTGCCTCCAGAAACACCAGACAGCCAGAGAACAGTGTGACTCCAGAGTGACACAGTAGTCTCTCATCCACTGTAGATTTCCAGCCACTCTCTTATAGGAACTAATAAAACATCCCCTCTCCTCTGCTCTCCCCTCATACTGCTTGAACTCGTTCCTCTCCCCCGCCTGCATCATGGCTGCGATGGTGTTGGTGACCGACATCCCGATGTAGGACCCCATGATGATAGGAGCAGCAGACCGCACCTCCAGCACTGTAAGAAAGGAAACACAAGCATGCACGCACGCACACACACAAACTATAATGACTGACTTCTCAAAGACTGCATTAAGTTCCATGATTATAGTAACGCATGGGCTTCAATATTATCAAACCTGACCCTTCATATTTCAAAATGCCTTCATACTTTTAATGCAGAAAAAACTGATGGCAATTTGCAAATGAGTGGAGGCATCTCAGGTTTTTAACTGAAGAGCTGGTTTTATTGTTGCTGGGGCCTCCCAAGGTAATGACAAACTGATTCATATGTAGATGACCCTTTGAGCATTTAGGCACACCACACACACACACACACACACACATACACTCACAGCTCCCACAGACTGCTGGGCGGTAGTAAGGTCATTCCACGAAATGAGTGCATTTTGCTTCCCTTTTATATTTTAAGTAGAAATTGTGCACAAATATTGCATTAAAACAATGTTATATTAAATGAAGTGCCTTAATATGAATAAAGACTTGCTAAAGTTCCCTCTGTGCACCCTCTGTGACTTCTAGGAAGATTTTAACCCACGTAACCCACGTTTTCACCATCATTGTAAAGCCCTAGTTATTATGATGTGTTTTTTATTTATTTAATGTGATTAGTGATTATTTTTAAGAAAACAAAAACAAACTGTCCCTCATTTTAAGGTCAACCCTGTTAAGTAAATTGAACTCTCGTTGTAATATGATGAAACTATTCCTTTTAAAATATTCAAAAGAAACATTGAACAACTTATATCCAAACCATAGGGTAAGAGCAGGTGAGCTGGTTCTACTCATTTTGGCAATTTCTGGTGTTTTTTTGTGGAACGCTGAGCGGGTTGAGCATAACACGTCAACCCTGTTACCAATAGATAGACAGGATAGAAATGTTTAAACAAGTACACATTTTTGTGAAGCTTGCATTCAATTTTTTCCTCCCTGTCGCACACAACTAGTTTACATTCCCCCTCTCACAAGGGGATTCATGATTTAAAAGGAAATCGTCACTGTTACTGTCAACCCTGTTACTTTACTTGGCACTTAGGCCTACTATTGTCATTTTTTTATTTAACCTATTGAGATGGGAGAACATTTTTTAAGTTGAACATGTGCTCATTATGACAGAATGTTACACTATGGTGAAACAAAAGTTTTTTTCGACCAAGTTACTGTAAGGGTTGGTGTGAGGTGTGACCCAGGTGCGGTGCAGGATAGACAGTAGGCAGTAGGCAGAGATGGTGAAACAAGGATCTTTACTGGTGGTCCCGAAGCCAGGATACAAATGCCTACAGGGCCTTAGATGCCTAAGGTTGTCAGAGGATGACACCAAGTGGGTCGCTCCGGAACTGCGACCCCCTCCTGTAACAAGTTATACTACTCAATATGCACCCCATTGGTAGAATGACCCAGTAATTGCCCATAATTCCCCTCTCATGTTCTCTCTGAGATTGGCTGCTGAGACAGATACGGTCCTGGCATACTGATATGCCGTGCCCACTGGTCACATACACACAGTGAATGAGAGGTCTCTGTGGATAACCCCTATTAGCAGCAGACAGTTCATACCCCCGAGACTCACTGTTAAGAAAAACTGACAATGATGAGAGAGGAGAATAGGTCAACCACTTTGTTTCAAGTTCAAAAGCATGTTGTTGTCACTTGTCCCTTTGATCCTATTCAGTCAATTGTTCAGATTTACAAGCCATGTTTTCACTCTCATACAGACACCAAGAAGAAGAGAACCACACACACACACACACACAAACATAATCTCTCTCTGTCAGTACTCACATCCAGAGGAGACAAGGCTGACGATGATGGAGGTGGATGTGGAGGAGCTCTGGACTGGTACAGTGACTAGTATCCCCACCATCAGCCTGGCTAATGGGTTAGGCAGCATTGCATTGTCCTTGAAGATATCCCCCGCTATTTTACCTTCAGTAACACACATACAGGACATAATACCCCAGGTCAAAAGACAGAGTTTCCACCTAGTTCAGAGTACTATAGTATAAACAGCATTTGACTTACAGTACCCTATCCAAAAAAGTACCAGGTCATGAATCAGTTTGTCGTTACCTTGGGACTATCAGGTTCTATCTGCGCAAAGCATAGTTCTGAGATATTGAGCATCAAAGTTTTCACATCTCAGGACTGTTTTGTAGTGAATTCATATTTCATAACCCATTAAGGTCATCGCCTTAATAAGTCCCTAAAGTGCAGAGTACATATACTGTAGTCAACAGGTTTCAACAGGTTTCAACTGGTTTCCTCCTCATAGTCATCAAAATGGACAAGTCAGTATATCTGACTAGACACGTCCAGAGAGGACAGACAGTGTAACCCATCCACTAGTTATGGTGGGACAGAAAATCAGTCATTAACTAATTAATAACCCCCCTGGAGGGACAGTTAAGTCTAATCTACTCACCGCCAGCCAGCTGGAACACTGAACTCAGTTTGTATAAAGAACAGACGAGGATGAGGAAGAGGAGGAGGAGGAGGAGGAGGAAGAGGAGGAGGAGGAGGAGAGGAGGAGGATTGTGGAGAAGTTGATAAAGAGTTCTCTCATTCTGCTAGGAATAAGCTCTATGTCAGGTTCTGTAGTGGTGGCTGATCAAAACAAGCAGAGAGAAACACTACAGAGTCAGACAACAAAAGAACAAGAAAGAAAAAGATAGAAAGAAGGAACGCATTATTACAATGTTTCTTCCTGAAGAACAAACCAACATTTGACGTAGTTTATAAATGGTTTCATTTTCACCAGATAAGGCAGCAATGTCATGACTGACTACTAGGACATCTCAAGGCTTCTCCCCCACATTCAATCTATGACATGGTCCGTTGTATGAGAGTACAGTCGTGGTCCAAAGTATTGGTGTTCACAAAGTTTGCTGCTTCAGTGTTTTTAGATGTTACTATGGTATACTGAAAATAATTACAAGCATTCCATAAGTGTCAAAGGCTTTTTTTGATAATTACATTAAGTTTATGCAAAGAGTCAATATTTGCAGTGTTGACCCTTCTTTTTCAAGACCTCTGCAATCCGTCCTGGCATGCTGTCAATTAACTTCTGAGCCACATCCTGACTGATGGCAGCCGATTCTTGCATAATCAATGCTTGGAGTTTGTCAGAATTTGTGGGTTTTTGTTTGTCCACCCGCCTCTTGAGGATTGACCACAAGTTCTCAATGGGATTAAGGTCTGGGGAGTTTCCTGGCCATGGACCCAAAATGTCAATGTTTTGTTCCCCGAGCCACTTAGTTATCACTTTTGCCTTATGGCAAAGTACTCCATCATGCTGGAAAAGGCATTGTTCGTCACCAAACTGTTCTTGGATGGTTGGGAGAAGTTGCTCTCGGAGGATGTGTTGGTACCATTCTTTATTCATGGCTGTGTTCTTAGGCAGAATTGTGAGTGAGCCCACTCCCTTGGCTGAGAAGCAACCCCACACATGAATGGTCTCAGGATGCTTTACTGTTGGCATGACACAGGACTGATGGTAGCGCTCACCTTGTCTTCTCCGGACAAGCTTTTTTCCGGATATCCCAAACAATTGGAAAGGGGATTCATCAGAGAAAATGACTTTATCCCAGTCCTCAGCAGTCCAATTCCTGTACCTTTTGCAGAATATCAGTCTGTCCCTGATGTTTTTCCTGGAGAGAAGTGGCTTCCTCACTGCCCTTCTTGACACCAGGCCATCCTTCAAAAATATTTGCCTCACTGTGCGTGCAGATGCACGCACACCTGCCTGCTGCCATTCCTGAGCAAGCTCTGCACTGGTGGTGCCCCGATCCCGCAGCTGAATCAACTTTACGAGACGGTCCTGGTGCTTGCTGGACTTTCTTGGGCGCCCTGAAGCCATCTTCACAACAATTGAACCTCTCTCCCTGAAGTTCTTGATTATCCGATAAATGGTTGATTTAGGAGCAATCTTACTAGCAGCAATATCCTTGCCTGTGAAGCCCTTTTTGTGCAAACCAATGATGACAGCACGTGTTTCCTTGCAGGTAACCATGGTTAACAGAGGAAAAACAATGATTTCAAGCACCACCCTCCTTTTAAAGCTTCCAGACTGTTATTCTAACTCAATCAGCATGACAGAGTGATCTCCAGCCTTGTCCTCGTCAACAATGTCACCTGTGTTAACGAGAGAAAAAATCAACACCAACTTTAATTCCAGACATTAAACTGCAGTACTGTTCACTTATCAGACAGTCATGAAACAGGGACAAACACTGGCCTTACATAACCCTGTCTGCTTTCACTGTGTGCATCCTTTCACCAGCTGGCAAGAGCGACAGACACGATGGCGGGCAATTAAATGTGAACAAAGGCAGGCTGCATTTTATTAATTGACAGCTGTCCTTGATGTAAGGGGCAGGGGCGGTGTGTTCAATAGGGCGATATGGGCGACGCACTGCCAAACGGGAAAAGGAAGGGATTTTTTTTCTAATCAATTATATCACGGCAACAGTAGTTATCAGTGTTGTAATCTAGACGTCTGATCTGCCACAGTGCCACTAAATGTCCAATCAGGCTAAAGTCGTGCTTCAAATGCCCCCCCCCCCCCCCTTTTGGGGCGATTTCAGTCAGGTTGAAAATCGCCCAGAAGTCTGTCATAGACTCCCATGTAAAATCTATTTTTTTCAAATATCAGAGCTTTCAATACAATCTCTATGGGTTTCTGAGGGCTTGCACTTACGCGCTTTCGTCATACGTAACATAACCATGAACGTAACTAAGAAAAGAGCGGGTAGCCTCGTCAATCAATTCACTACTACTATCAAAATGGCTAGGCTTCAGTGCAACTCGATTGTGTCTTTGAAAGAAGTTCCTTTTTGTCGGCGAACAAATGAAGATAAATTGGCAACGAAACAATTAGGACCTCCCAGACCAAATTTAATAATTCAACTGGTTTCTACTAAAGGGGGGAAGTCCTACACCCGAGGATTTTCCAAAAATTGGTACGAACGAAAAACCTGGCTAGCAGGCTGCGATGTAGCTAATGCAGTCTTCTGCTACCCCCCTGCTTACTCTTTCACCCTGAAGGCGGCACGGCAGACAGCACCGCTTGGACAGCGACTGGTGTGTAACGGACATGCACCATCTTTCAGGAAAGATTAAGAAACATGAGCTGTCAAAGACCCACATGGATAGCTGTTTGAGACTGTCTGCTTTGGGGAGAGTGAACATTCCCACTCAACTGGATGAGGGATACAGGCTAGCTGTCCGCCGCCACAACGATGAGGTTAGTGTTGATAATCACAAGTTTACTGGAGAACTGAAACTGACAAGGCTGACAAGATAGGACCCTTTTGTCCATTGTTATTGGATAGGAACAGAACTTATAACCAGCTCCTGACCTAAATAGATCTTAGCACAACATTTTACTCAACATATCATATTCCATATTCACTATAACAAATATATTTACTACGACATTAGCAAGAACCGCCACATCCTCAGCCGGCTAATCCAGTGTGTGAAGTTTTGCGGAGTGTTTGAGTTAGCTTTGCGAGGCAAAGATGAAACTGAGGGCTCCACAAACCCTGGTAAGCCAACACTTTTGAGATCAGTCAATAAATGCTTCTGGTATTGACTTATATGCTGCCCCTGTCTTCATGTTGTTGCTGGACATATCTTTTTTAAAATGTGTGTAGGTCACCTAAATCATCAGAAAAATTGCCCCCCCTGAGAATTTTTTCAGGAGCCGCCACTGGTAAGGGGTCAAAAGTAATCTGCACCTAGACAGGACTGGAGATACACTTGTTTTGTAGACTTCATCCCTATCAGTCAAGGCCTTGTCAGATGAAGAGAACATCAATGTCCTCAGAAATATCACTGTCCTCGTTTTCCCCCTCTAAACTCCAGAAGGAAAAAAAAGTTCCTGTGCTAATGCTTGTCAAACAGTCAGCCTTTCTTCAAAGGTGTCTCGTTCTCTCTGTAGGTGAATGCTTTTTTCATGTCTAAACTGACGCTTTAGATGGTTTTCAGATTGGGGACACCTGTGGAGGCCACTAATGCGTTCATAAAAGCCTAGTCATTGTTTTAGTGATGGTAGCACTCTGGTGTTCTGTGTCATCTTTTTGGTTGGAATGTGCAGAATGGAGCTGTTATCTGAGTGTGGTAATTTGTACCAACAGAGCTGAAAGTAAGAGTAGGCTTATTCTGTATATAGATCTACAGATAGAACTGAGTGTAACTCTGAAATCCTTTAAGTGTTAATGTGTGGTGTGTGTGTGTGTGTGTATGTATGTATGTGTGTGTGTGTGTGTTGTGTGTGTTGTGTGTGTGTGTTCTGGTTGATGTCTTTTCAGAGAGATCGGTCAAAATTGTATGATGGGCTGATTGCTTATCAGGTGGGATAATTCCTGTGTCCAATTTCGGAATATGACAGAATCCGGGTGTGATGTCCTTTTTTGTTTTTCTAGAAGAGTGCAAAGTAATGTTTATTTAGGTTGGGGGGGGGGGGGGGGGGGGGTTCAGTTTTTCCATGGATAAAAAGACAGTCTTCTTTGGTTTAACTGAGAACTTGTATACAAGCCTCATGTGTGTAAAGACACAGATTTTCTCTCTTATAGATTATTCTAAAGACCCGTGTAAACACCTAAGTCTTATTTTTGCTAGACTCTGTTTTATTTTGTATCATGTATTCATGCACACTGCATTTGCTTGAGTGCTAATCCATTAGTTGATTAGAGGAAAATGCATTCCTTGTTTATAGAGCAACTCTTTGATTGACTATACGTTCATAATTTAATATTTGTAAATCCTAAAATGTCTAGTTATTTATACTACACATAGCATATGCTTGGGTTCCACCTTGACATCCCTGATCTACTTGACTCAATAAATGAATGCTAGAATATTGGTAGCCAGGATTAGCTATTTGTATCTAGCGTCTTAATAACGGTGCAAGATAAACACATGTTCATTATAGTCATACTGAGTCAGTGATGCAATGATTCGCTATCTTGCTAGATCCTCCAGAGACTCACAGGGCCTGTTGCATTTATTCACATGATAACGGAGTCAGATTGATAAATTACATTTTTTATTATTTAACACAATTCTTCCTGAACTGTATGCATACTTTGTATTTGTAGTTATTATGGATCCCCATTAGCTGCTGCCAAGGCACAAGCTACTCTTCCTGGGGTCCAGCAAAATTAAAGCAGTTTTGCCATTTTAAAAACATTACAATACATTCACAGATTTCACTACACACTGTGTGCCCTCAGGCACCTACTCCACCACTACCACATATCTACAGTACAAAATTCATGTGTACATGTGTGTATAGTGCGTATGTTATCATGTGTGTGTGTGTATACATGTGTCTGTGCCTATGTTTGTGTTGCTTCACAGTCCCCACTGTTCCATAAGGTGTATTTTAATCTGTTTTTCTAATCTAATTTTACTGCTTGCATCAGCTACTTGATGTGGAATAGAGTTTCATGTAGTCATGGCTCTATGTAGGACTATGCGCCTCCCATAGTCTGTTCTGGACTTGGGGACTGTGAGGAGACCTCTTGTGGCATGTCTTGTAGGGTATGCATGGGTGTCCGAGCTGTGCGCCAGTAGTTCAATCAGACACTTCAGTGCATTCAACATGTCAATACCTCTCATAAATACAAGTAGTGATGAAGTCAATCTCTCCTCCACTTTGAGCCAGGAG